AAAATCTGAGACTAGCGAAAAAATCTTGCCTGAAGAAAATTCATCCTTATCAGCCGATTTGGAGGATTATATAAAAATGCTCACAGAAAGTCTTGACGATGAGACTGCTTATTGGGTACACCATACAAGAACTCGGCTAGGGTAGTAGAAGAGGAAGCGAATGAAGTTAAGAAGCTTCTCAGGGTTCAGTCAAATGATGATGTATATTTTGATGAGGAAGTCAATCATAATTCTGTACCGTTTCCCTCTAGGAAACAAGAAACGAATGATGATAATGACTGTAATCACGACAACGATTCTGAAGAAGAGATGCCAGATAAATTGGACAATGATAGGTATAATGGATATGGTGGATATGATAAATATGGTGGTCGTGATAGAGGTTATTATTATCGTGACGGAAAATACGAAAGGAAAGACTCACCAATAATGAGTCCTATTATCTTTCCGGTAACCGCCTGCTAAGCCAGAGCGACAAAGTCAAGCGCTAAAGGCAGGAGAATTATTGGATGAATTACATACTCGCTTATCGTATCTTTTTTTTGGAATCACGTGGGTGGTTTAAACGGTCATATGAAGCGATTACCACCCGGGAAATACGCAGAAGATATTTGGTAAAATTCTTGCTGAAGAATAGGGGCTATGTGACGTAAGATTCGTATAATTATTATTTTTTATTCTGATAGATGATTCTGGAATAGACTAATTTTTCCCAGAATAATCTCATTTTCGAAATGTTAAAGTGAGGCCTTAGGAAAGGAAGGTAAGTATTGTATTCTTATTGTATTGCAAATTCGAGATTAGAGGAAGATTTATCCAACTAAGTATTACCTTATATTATAAAAGAAAAATTCTTTTCGGGATAGTTTCTCGATATGGGATGATAGACGAATTTCTCTCGATCATCACAGGGTAGTAGAACATGTGAGGCAGGAGCGGAAAAGATTTCAGAAAGTGTTGATGTTTCAGAAGTAGATCCCTGTTTATTATGCAACTAAGAGCTTTTATTATATGAAATAAAAAGTCATTTACCATACTCACCTGACATATATATCACCGCAATTGTATTGAAAGTTCTATGACGATTTTTTTTTCGCTATTTCCGATCCTAATTTTTCGTGATGCTGGTGATTCCAAGTCAGCAGGTATATCTTCACTAAAGCTGAAGCAACCAGGATTCCAAGACCTTGAACAGGAAGAGGTAAGTTTTTAGTTGAACCTTTTATCGCTTAAATCAAACGAAGCTAATCACCTTTACATCCATCACATCTATCATCAATCCCATCAACTGAATGATACTTACGGTATTTTGATCCTTAATATTTACCGAGAAATATAGTTCTGAATCTGATTTGACTAGGAGCATTTTGCTCTCAGATTCGAATTGCGAGAAAGGCTTAAATAATCTTTATTTTGATAGGATAATTCAAATCGTGATTCGAAAATTACTGCAGAACCTTACCGAGAGAGAAAAGTCCAAGGGATTTAAATCCCTCAAATGAAGTTTCATGAATGCAATGTCATGGTCTTCCATTCCGAGAAATGCGGAACCTAGGTGTAGTGATGGGGTTAATAAAGGACAAGGGGTACCATTCAAGTGAAGTAAAAATAAGCATGGATACCTGTTCTCATAGAAATACCATGTATCATAGGATAGTTCTGACATTTTTCAAGACGGGTGAAGTAAAATTATTTCTGAATTCCAGCCTCTGCATCATTTTCCATCCTTAAGATATAGTCATATCACACGAAAATAAAAGAATTTTAACACTGCATATGATCTCTTAACCGGTAATGACTTATCCCTATATACTATATTCCGCTGATCGCTCGAGAGCAATGCACTAATGCAAGTTATTTTTGAAAAATAGGATCGACAAATTATTGGATATTAAGATTTTTATGTTTTGCGATGATCGTTGCTATTAACTGCGGAAGGGTCTTAATTATAAAAACTGTGTGTATTAGAGGAGAACCGTTTCTAGTAAGAAAACTCTAACAAAATCACTTGAACCAATTTCTCTTCTATCTCCGCAAAATGCTTTCAAACTCTGATATATTTTTGATCGTACTATTCAGCATCGTAATTGTAATCTATGAGATGCTAACCTAGGGTATTCTAACAATAGAGGTACTCCAAGGTATTTTCGCAGGGAATGTCATAATGTACATAATCTTTGCAGAGGACGTATTATTTTTACGCAAATATCTCTCTCCAACTCTGACCTTACAAATTACCAAACTTGAAAAATCAATATTGGCATTAAATAATGAAATACAAAAAATAAAAGGAGAGACAGAATGGGATCGCGTATCACAAAGTAAGAAATATTCTGCTCTTCCTAGTTGTCTTTGCATATATCCTCAAGGGTAAATAGGTACTAACTTTTTATTATTTATCATTTAGGTTCATCTCGATTCTCTTCTAGTCATATATCCTTTTTTCTCGTCTGCTCGAAAAAAGAAACAGCTATCCCTTTTGAAAAATTATTTCGCTATAATTATTGGATTATTTCCTGCAGAAGCTATACTTCAAAGGAGGGAAATTCATCTAAGCTCCGTGACTTTGGCGAGTTTCTACCGCCATCAAAAAACTCTGAGGACTACTTCCTTAGATAAAATCAAAGAATGGGTTGAAAGAGAAGGGAGGAGAGATTCTAGTAATAGCAGTAGTAATAGTGATAATGGTAGTTAGCAATAGAGATAGGAAAAAAAAAATAATTAGTATAGAAATTTACAATAGAGCAAAGAAATGACTTGATGCTGAGGACTCTCATTTATGGCTTAGGATCCAAAAATTCCCTCCCTCTTTGATAGCATCATTTATTTTAATCATTACTTTCTTCTGGTCTTTCGATCTATTATCTTTTATTTATTTTTTACTTAACGGATTGGCCATATTACATAATGATAAATAAATAAAAATTTTACTTTGAATTTTTAAATGTATGTCTGCTTTACAAGCTATGAAAATATAAAATTTACTAAACTATTCGCTA